AATGGCCAATCCCCCATAAGGTTCAAGTTTTTCTTTCTGCACAAGATAAAATTTTCACCATAGATAATCTCATGAAAAGGGGGAAAATCTTGCCAAATATTTGCTTATTTTGTAAACAAGATGGTGAATCTGTGTCGCATGTCTTGATACGTTGTCCCTTCACCTATGCTATTTGGTTTTGGTTACTCAGTATGGTTGGAATATCTTTGCCACTACCACAGAATGTAGCAGGGATTATTTCTCAATTATTACTTCCTTTTTTGCCTAAAATTGGAAGGATTATTTGGAAGATTGCTAGGGGCTTAGTTATGTGGGAAGTGTGGAAAGAAAGGAACAGAAGAACCTTTGAGGGTGTGGTGCTGCCTGTTGGTAAGGTCATCCACTTGGTAAGTCTATCTATTTGGTCTTCTCTTTTTGTGACTAAGGAGGGTTGGGGGATTTCGAAAGTTGATGTAATGGTTAATTTGTCTAACTCGTTCTCTCTAGTTGTGAGGAGATGTCGGTCTAAGATTATTTGGCATGCCCCCCAATGGGTTGCCTAAAAATCAATTTTTATGGGCATTCTATGGGTAACACGGGACCTATAGGGATTGGGGGTATTATAAGTTATTGTTTTGGGAATACAGTATTATCCTATGCAGACCCAATTGGTTTGGCAACAACGAACTTTTTGGAAATAACTGCCTTACTTAGAGGGTGTGTGATTGAGGGAGACTCTTGAATGTCATCAGGTGGTGTAGGAAAGAGCAATCGGTTCTGTGGGAACTACGGCCCTTGTGGTTGCAAATCTTGGATGTCTCTATCAATTTAACGATCTCCTTCTCCTATGTTTATCGTGAAGTTAATTGTGTTGCAGATGCTCTAGCTAAAAGGGGCATTTCTCTTGGTTCTCTTTCTATTTCTGATTCTGTAATTTCCTTTTAACCATTTAATAAAGTTCTGGATTTTGATAAATAAAAAAAAAGGGGAGAGAAAAAAGGTGAGGGCACATGGGTGTGTCCTTACAGCACACCATCCACTGCTATACTTCTCAAAGATCATCCGTTGGACTCAGTGGATTGTAACCTCCCCTTCGATTTCACATTCTCTCTCTATTTTTGTTGGATTTCTCAGTGTTCTTTTATGTACCGTGATATCTTTCTTGGTGGTCATCACCACACTTTAAATACTGTAATATATCTAAAGTTCATTACGGTATTTTAAGTACAGTGACGCCTCCAAACATTACGGCACTTGCTATACGATGAAGGTGAAAGCTATTTTGGTCTAAAAATTATGAAAAGTGAAAAAAAAAAAAAATGGTGCGGATGATGTTTAGGAAAGTATGGTTTTTTTTAAAAAAAACAATTAGCCCAAAATTAAGATATATTTCTGATAATTTCCAATAAAATTTCCAAGGTGGTTTTACCGATTTATTGCACCAATCAATCACATTTTGTGAATCACCCTCCACCACAATTGCAAACCCCTCAAATTTCCTTTGATACACGTCAATCCTTGTAAAATACTTCGAAATCCCACATGACCCTGTATAAGAAAGAATAACATCTCCCGGATTATCGAAAGAGCTTCCATCGAAATTTACTTTTAAGCATCCCTCATATGGTGGCCGCCATTTATGTTTCTGTCTTAGCTTCCATGTTTTGTTTGTTACCACATTATTCAAATTCATCCGTACATCCACCTTTGAGATTCATCTTCAATTGTCTGAGATTGAGAACTAATTCTACACTCCATATAAAATACTCTCCTTGATTTCTGAAGATCATCGATTTCTCCCTTCAAAAGTTCTGATGTTTCTTACCCTTCAAACTTCCCATAAAAGGGCTGCCTGGAATATCATCTATAATATGCATCCACATTTTAGTAAACCTGATATGTCCATTTGAAACTATAACTCTCCATGACTCCCCGGTATCACCATATGAATACCCAATTTACTAAAGGAAAAAGTTTATATAAGGATGCTACCTTATAATGTAGAACTACGGATGCCCCTCAAAAATCCATCGGAAAAGGTAGTTTTAATGTTAAAAAAAAAATTTGATTGATCATCTCAACATCATGATGTATGAATATGAAAAATAAAAAGAATTTAAGTCTCAGAAATAGTACATTTTACAGTATATTTTCTACACCGTCCATTTTCAAGATTTTTATATGTTTATAGATCTACTTAATTTTAACCATTTTTGAAATTTAAAATTTTATAATTTGATATAAAAATAGATTTTGAGATAATCCGAAAAATGTTTTACATCAAAATTATAGATCATAATAAAATTTGAAGGTGCACCTTACCTATACACCTATGGATGTATCTGTATGCCAACTGCACCCTTTACTAAAAGCCCATTCCCAAATATCTTGCATAAATAGGTAGTACAAAAACATATACTCACTAAAAAATCCCATCAATCTCAATCTCAATCTCCCATACTACCACATTGTGAAACTAACTTTGGCCGTTTGGATGTACCCATAATTAGAAATTTTTTGGATTGTAATCCAAAAATATTGTGAAACTAACTTTGACCATTTGGACAACAACATATTTTTGTCATATTTTATATTGAAAGAAAAAAAACGTCTCATTTCAAGACAAAAATTACCATAAAAAAAAATAAAAAAAACAATTTAGACTTAAATTTTTTTTGGGTTGAGTCGTGTTTCTCGCGCCTCTCTCTCTCTCACCCTTACGCTCTTCCCTCTCCTCCCTGCTTTTCCCTCACCTCTTTCTACTCTCTCTCATTCGCGAGAAGAAAACTTAAAACTCTCTCTCTCTCTTTCAAAAGCTCTGCAAACATAGGTCCGCAGCCGCTGAGAGAAAGCCCATCATTTTTCAATCTCTCTCTGCTACGAAGGAGCTGAGAGAGAGCCCACCATTCTCTCTCTTTATAGAAACCCCAGGAGCCCCCAACCCTCTCTCTCTAGAAATCCCAGTTCGGTAACCGCTTCCTCAACCATGTGCTCCTCTCCTTTCTCTTTCTCTGAACCAATTGTTCCCCACCCTCAATTGCCCAACAAAGGTGTCATAAGGTCGTGTTCTCTGAGATCGATGGTGGATTTTGTGGACGCAGACGAGATACACAGCATTGAAGAGGAAGAGAGAGATCCATTCCGAGATGATTTTATCAATACTTTTGTGTTGAGATTGAGGGTGGGTAACTAGGACTTGCTCATTTCAATGGATGCTACTGAAGATTCGATCTGTTACAAAGTTGTGAGCGACAAAGATGAAGGAGAGAGGGAGGATTAGGGCTAGGGTTATGCGAGTGAAGATCTTTCGTCATGATAGAACGATCTTGAATGCTTCATTGTAGATGCCGAGGCATCCCAAGAACTGCATCTCCTCTGGTTCTCTATCCATCCTCGCCTCAGCTCTCTCTCTCTCTCTCTAACTTTCCCTCTTCTCTCTCTAGCCTGAGTTCCCTGAACTCCCTTGTGTTCTCTCTCTCTAGAAATATCTCTGCTTCATTCTCGCTCTTCTTTTTGATCTTTCTGAGCAGAGGAGTGTCGGCCTTAGAAGGAGATTTCGATGCATTTGCTTGGAAAGATGAGTTTGGGTGTGAGAGGCGCCGGGAGAAAAGGGACAAGGGGCTAGCACAGTGTAATTCACTGGCCCTAAGATTTTTTTTCGACAAATCAATGAAATTATATATCCAAACAGTTTATCAATATAATAAAATAAAACGAGAACATTTTCCAATTAAGATGAAAACAACTTGTATTTTTTTCGCCATGAATATTTTTTTATTTGACATCCAAACTGGGAGGTCTCTCGTGATGTAAGCGCCATTCAACCCTTTTAAAAGGGCCTTTTAAAAGGGATTCAAACTCATCCCCCACTCTATTCGGCAGCCTTCCATAAATAAAATGCAAATGGTAGGATTGAAAAGCAAAGAAAAGCAAATGCCAGGATTCACCAAAGAGCAACTAACGGCTACTTTAGCTGCTAGATCCACTCTTTTTTTTAAATACTTTCGGAAAGGCCAATTTCAGAGTGGCCACAAACATATGTGCTCACCATTTCCGACCAGCTATCTCCTTCACATGCAAAATACCTTTCCACAAATGTGATGACAGAGATTTTCTGCATGAGGAAAAGGACATAATTGACTCTCTAGAAACCCCGTATTTCTCATTCACCACTGAATACTAAAGCTGATCTTCACAACGAAGAATTCATTAATATCGAGATATTTATCATGTCTTACGGGATCATATACTCTTAGACTATTTACTAGAGGTTTGAACGTATTGGCATCACTAAATGGTAGCTCCCACTGCATCACCAGGGTATCCATCCAACTTTGCTTTATTTACCAGGGCCAGCCAGGCTCACTCCTCTTTTTTATTTTTCTTCATTTATTTTTGGCCTGGTCCCGCTTAACGTTCCGATTGGGTTGGGCTTGGACCGGCCCTATAGGATAAGGGCTGGGTCGGGGCCTAGGATAGCCGAGGCCCAGGCTCGGCCCTTTGCCACCTTTAATACAAAACTTACCCTCTATATAAAGTTCACATATTCAATAAACCATAATAAAGTCAATGTTCAAAAAATAAAAATAAAAATAAAAAATTGAGATCTCAAATAACTGAAATCCTCCCTTATTTGTACTAGGAAACCTCTTCACAGGAAAGAACAGAAGAGGAAATATACAATGATAACATCGACATTCTGATGTTACATATTTCTCACATATTACAAACACAATGAAACAGGCCAAAAAATAAAGCAAAACAAGACAACATCTCATCATATCAAACCCAATTTCTCTTCCCCAATTAAACCTCCACAAAACAACCCGCCTGAACAAAGCCCCCAAACTCCTCAGCCACGACCACCTTCTCCCACCTCCGTTCCCTTCCTCTCTCCTCCTCCTCCTACTCCTCCTCCTCCTCCTGCCTTTCCCCTAAATAGCAATCCAAACGCCCACCCTGATAAGCTGAGCCAACAACCAAAACCCCATCGCCCCATCTCACACCGCAAATTCCGGCTCTCAACCCATCAATGCCCGCCTCCCCCCACCACCCCAATCTCCCCTCAGCCAACATGAGGCTTCCTTTCTGGCACTTCCCTTCACGCCACACGCTCTCCACTGGTCGCCATCTTCCTGATATCGGATTGAATGCCTGACCACCGCCGTCAAACTGGCCTTGTGCCTCTGTCGGGTAACGACCCAAAACTCGTCCCCAACTGCCAACCCCTCGCACTCATCCCTTGTCGCCTCCATCTCAGGCAACCCCTCCCACTCGTCTCTATCCACGTTGTTAACTTCCCCTGTCGCAACTGCATTCTTATTCCTGTCGTGTCCTCCGGCCACATAAACCCGCCTATCGATCGCCGCAGCTGCGAAAAGCGATCTTAGCCCTCTCATTGGCTGCCCCTCGCGCCATGCTCCCCTCGAGAAATTGTACAGGAAAACTCGGCATGTAGGCTCCCAGGTGGTTGGCTCCCAGCCCCCAATGACAATCAACTCTGTTCCCATGGAAACACACTAGCAAAACAGGGGCAGGCCATCAGGGTAAGCAGGGATTGGCGGCACCCGCGTCCATTGCCGAGTCCGGGGCTCGAAGAGAGTGAGGCCATAGGCCAGGGGCCGCTGCACCTCTTGCTTGGCGCCTCGAAGGCTTGGGGATGTTAGGGACCGGACCAGGCATGCATACTTTTGAGTTTTACCTGTTGCTTTCCTGCATTTGTAGGAGTCAGGGCTCGCTATGAGCTCTTGCCAGCTCTTGCGCACCAACCTCATGGCCGCATGCGATGTCTGCTCTGCTCTCACTAAGCACTCCCACCCGATTTCATCGGGCAGACCCGGAATAACCTCAAAATCCATGTGATTCAATTGATAGAGTAAAATAACTAATAAGCTTTGTGCAGCCAACTCTAAATAGTTGGGATGAGACTCTGATAATGATGTTGGTCTAATTAGGTCGTTAGCCCAATTGAACCGCTTCGAACTTCATATCCAATAGATATTAACCGTTTGGGTTCGATGTTTCCTAAACTGCTCTTGGCTTGACCAATTTTGATAAGCTACAGGCTAAAGTTTTTGGAACAGGCTAAAGGAGTTTGAAGTAAAGAAGTAGATGAACATCAAAGCTGAATGTGAACTCGTCTTGAATAATGCTATCTGAGATTTTTGAACATTTAATATAACTTGGCTACATGGGATCTTTAGGCAATTATCACTGAAGCAAGTTGCAAATTTGTACACGTAGCCAGCCTCGTTTATGTGTTTTCCAGTGTTTGAACAGAGTCTAGCGTAGGAGCATACTGTACATATGCTCCCGCTGTTAAAAGACCAGCTTATAAGTATTTTTCCATCCAAAATCCGATTAAAAAGTACGAAATGAGTATTTCAGAAAAAGGTGGAGTTTATGTAAGGGTGGGGTTTGTATAGAACCAGGTCTCTAAACAATAAAATTAGAACCTACTTTTAAATAATGTAGAGAAATGTGGTTTCAATATTGAAAACCATTGTGATAGCTTTAAAATATATTTTCATCTTTATTTATAAAGTTTAAAGCTTCAAAAATAGTGTAGATGGATAAATCTATGAAAACTTGAAAATCTTAAAAATTGATGGTAAAAAAATGCTTTACAAAATACACCATTTCCAAAACTTGAAATCCACTTTTTTCTTATGTCCATGCATCTTGATGTCGAGATGATCAATTTAAAAATATTTAGGCATCAAATTGCCTCTTCTAATAAATTTTTTGAGATAAACTCTAATTTAATTGTTTAGAGCCTCGGCTCTATATAAACTTTTCCATGTAAATCGTTGATATTAAACTCAAACTAACAAAAGAAACGAAGGAAGGTGTACCTTCTACCCCTGTCGGGACAAGAAGCCCGACTGATGGCCTACAAATCCCCTTATCATATTCATCATCATCATTGGAGCATTTTTCAAAGTAATTAGGGTTAGCAGTATTTTCACCCCGAAATTGAAAGCTCAAAAAATGATATAGAATGAGCAGATCCATAATTATTGTAAAAACTGGGAAATGAATAATGTAGACATGTTAAAAACACACTATTTTTAGAACTTGAAGTTCTATTGTTTTTTTTTTTTTCTATTTTATACATAGTTCTATTTATTTTTTTCTTTTTTATACATACGCTTGAGGTCGAGATGATCAATTAGAGATTTTTGAACATCAATAGAACCTTTTCATGGTAGATTTTTAAGGTACACCTCACAATTTCATTGGATAATACCGACACTTTGTGTATGCTCTTCCTTGAAAAAAAAAAAAAAAACACAACATTTTCACTACTTAAGCACTTAAATGTAACTGCATGTGAATATTGTGTTTTGTTCTTCTCAGGCTTATTGCTACAATTAGTTCACATCTCCCAAATTTGAATCCGAAAAATGCTCCTAAATTTGGATTTTTCCATAAGCCTGGAGACATGGGCCGGGCGAGGGCCGTCGTTGGCTGCCATCCTTATCGGGTCACGACCCCACAACTGAAAAATTGAAACCGAGTCATGTGAAGAGAAATATGGCACATGGATTATGGATATTTTTTGAAGGAAGATGTATTGTGGATATGTCTGGGCCTACCAGGATTGATTTGATTTAAATGGTGGTCCTATGAAATGAGGGAGGAGTTATGGGAAGGGTGGGTTTTTTAGTGTGCTTGGGGACTTCTGCGATTTAAATGGTTGATGCATTCATGAATCTATAATAAAAAAAAAGAAAAAAGAACTGTGAAGTTAAAAATTGGTCTACCTTGTACTCATTTTTTTGGACATTTACTTCGATTTTTTTAAAGGTTATCAAATCTAATCTAAAACCTGGTTTTATAGCTCCCAGGACATCATGTGATGATAGTAGATTTAAGGTAAGGGACTCGGTTTCTATGCGGCCCAGCCATGTAGAAATGCGGCCTCTTAATAAATCTATTTTGAAGATGGATTTTAAGACTTCATTTTAAAGGATATGTAATCTCTGACATGGAGATAATTACTATGAAAAACTAAAAAAATTTAAAAATTAGAATTAATAATTCTAGTAAGAAAATATTTGAACCGTCAATTTTTATTGTTTTTAGATGGAACAACTACTTGCATCGATCTTAAAGATGGATCGCATTAGTAGAAATGCTGTCCATCCTGCATGAAACAATTTTTTTTAAAGTAAACTCGTTGTGTTTCAAGTCCTAGAACCCTTAAAAAACATGGGTGGTCGCATGATTTGATCGATCTAACAAAAGGATCGTTTTTAATGAGTCTGCTTACTCATATGTATACATGGGACCCTATAAGATTCGTCCTAAAGACGGATTTTTTTATCTAATTTTTTAGGGATTCATCATCTAGGCCAAGTTGATCATCAATATGATAAAAAAAAACCTAAATTTTAAACTTTAAAATGTATTTGATTGAGATTTTTTGTACACCGTCCATATGGAAATTGTATTTTACACCGTGTAATGCTAGTTTAAAAATATCTGCAAGTTTGAAAAATGGACTACGGATGCCCCAATTGTGTCGAGCAAAACGAAGAATTTTTTTGTATACAACTCGTGGGAGAATACAATTACTGCGTTCAGATTGAATATGACTGTTTTGATTACATTATATATATATATATATATTTATATATATATATATATACTACAAAAGGTCTATAGACGATATATATATACTTCAAAAGGTCTATAGACGAAAATGAATAGTGATTTCGTCTATTCTTATCATCGTCCAAAGTTCATCACACGATCACGATTGTCCAGTAGTGTATCATTTTTAATTTTTTTTCTACAAATCGGAATGATCTAAAATTTGGAGCGTGTGTTTATAAAAAATCGGCGAATCTACTTCATAAAAAATAGACGAATCTACGAAAAATATCAAAACAATATTCTATATAAAATAAATTGATCAAAATACCCCCGAAAAGTTTTATGGGTATTTTGGTCAATTATTTTACTTGAAATATTTTTTTTATATTTTTATTAAGTACGCCTCACTAAGATGTACACACAATCTAAATTTCAGATCATTTTGATTATTAAAAAACAATGAAAAATGAAATACTACCGGACAATC